TTGCCCACATTTGCAGTCAAGTTCCTTTTTTTTTTCCATTTTTTTTTTTATTTTAAGTTCATGAATTCTTAGACACGATGAACTCGCCGGCCTCGTACCTCGGCTCGTCTAACTGGTTGTTCGAAGAAAACACGGTTACAAAGTGGACTGCCGAAGAGAACAAAAGGTTCGAGAATGCGTTGGCCTTGTTCGATAAAGACACGCCCGACAGGTGGCACAATGTGGCGTCGATGATCCCCGGGAAGACGGTGAGCGACGTCATCAGACAGTATCGGGAGCTGGTCGAGGATGTCAGCGATATCGAGGCCGGTCTGATTCCGATCCCGGGGTATTCTGGCAATTCTTTCGCCCTCGAGTGGATGAGCGGCGGCCACTCGTATGAGGGGTTGAAGGGTTTTTACGGGCCGGCCACCGGGAAGAAGGGCCCGTCTGCCCGGTGTGCCGATCATGAGCGAAAAAAGGGTGTGCCTTGGACTGAAGAAGAACATAGGTTGAACTCTCTTTTTTACTATTTGCATTCAGCTATATATTGATGATTAGTTGATGATTGATGTGTTTGTGTGTTTTTTTCTGCAGTTTTTTTTTTTTTTTTAGAAATCTCTTAATGAATGTTTGATTATATTTACTTTTTAGTCCCTCAACTTGGCATTGAAAAAAAGAGTTAATTCCATATTATCAGTAGACATGTTTAGTATATGGTTTGTGTGAAACTATTTGAATTCAGCTATATATTGATGATTAGTTGATGATTGATTTGTTTTTTATTTAATTTCATTTTTTTTTTCAAATTTTTGTTGGATTGAAATTCTCAGACAATTTCTACTGGGACTGAAAAAGTACGGAAAAGGCGATTGGCGTAACATTTCGCGTAATTTCGTGACCACACGAACCCCGACACAAGTCGCAAGCCATGCTCAGAAGTACTTTATCCGGCAGCTTTCCGGCGGGAAGGACAAAAGACGGTCGAGCATACACGACATCACGACTGTTAATCTCGACGAGATCAAATCTCCTTCGCCGGAAAAGAATAATGGACTACTCGACTCGCCGGAAAAGCAGAACTTGATCTTACAAGTTCAACAGCACAATCTTGATGGAGATGTTGTGGTCCGACCCAATTACGAACCGGACCTGAAAAGCTCCGGAGCCGTATTGGGCTTCAGCCCGATCATGGCCCACTTTCAAGGGACCTCTGGTTACGGCGGGCATGGCTCGCCGCACTTAGGGCATCATCATGGTACGGTTTTCCAGATGAATCCGAACTAGATTATTCGACAAGTTGTCTCGATTTTTTTTTTTTTTTTGTCCATATATTTTTATATATATGCAGCTTAATGAAAGAAGGGCTCTTTTCAAGTTAGTTTCGTTTTCTTTGAAGCTAATGTTCGCGCACAAACGAGTCGAACCAAAAAAACGCTTAAATAGTCTTTATCGAGGATCGATTTTTTGTGAACATACGGTGAGGAGGGAGGCCTTTTTTCGGTGCATATATCTTTCAACAGAATGAGTTCGGAAAAAAGTGCGGCGTTTAGGAGTAAGTAAACATGTGATTGAATAAATACGAAATGTGTTACGAGTTTTTAAGCCGGGAGAATGAAATGCATGCCATCTTGTATATATTTTTACTTTCGCGGTCATGGCGAAAAACTGGCAATCAATCGCGTGAAACATTTGTACGAAAAAAAAAAAGTATTGTAGTTCTTCTAGCATATCATCGAAAAATATCAAGTCGTCGTTGTTTGCAAGTATATTTGACATTCGTTTCATATGGAATTTGTCGAGCATTCATGTAATGCTTCAATAGTACGCCGCGTACGACAATGCAACGAGGGGGTTTTTTTCAGGCTTCGAACGAATAATGTTCTTCTCGTCTCGAAGGAGTCTCGAAGAGTGCTCTAGAAGCCGAGTAACAATTTTTTTTTTTTTTTTTGGGGGTAATTCATCACAACAATATGAATTACTCAAATTCAAAGTCTACTTGAATCAATAGTAATATATGTTTTATGTTTTATTAATTTGGGTCAAAAATATGGTATCACCCCACCTTATAAACTGAATCTTGAAAAGACCTCTTACAGTCCACAAAGCATATATCATTTATGAAGTTTGTGAATATTAAGGTCCCACCCACTAGCCAAGAGAATTTAGAGGGGGCAAGTCCTTTTGGTAAATGACAAATCAAACCCCACTCTTCTTTCTTTTTGCAAAGGCAGCAACTTTATGCTACTTGCACCAAAAATAAAAGCTTTACTACTTTATTTTGATGTGATATCCCCCCCTCCCTACAAGTATATTTAGACTTCATATCATATATACCTAATTCCACAACCTAAAAAGAAAAAATACAAATAAAAAAAGCAAACTACACATGTTTTTCAAGTTATTCTTTTATTTTGGTAGACAAATAAGTCAATTTATAGACTTATTTAGTTAACTTATAAACTATCTGTATGTAAATAAACTTCATTTGGTAGGATGAATATTTTTAAAAAGCACGAGCTTACCTCATACGCTTCTTTGGGTAGTTTTTAAATAAACTCGTTGAAATTTTTATTTCGATTATCAGTTAATTTTACATAACACTTTTATCATATAAGTTAACTTTTCAACTATAAGTCATAACCTATAAGCTCGAAATTTACTGATAAGTCATAAGCTAGTTTATCAATTATTAGCTAGCTTATCAGCTAATTTTACCAAATATAGTTTATATAGTTCAAGTGATAATTCTCCATTTGTGTATATTTGAAAAAGTATGACATTTGAGTAGGAGTGGTATCGTTCAGTTATCGAACCGATAAGCGTATACCGAACCGATAATGTCGGTAACCTCGAAATGCAAAACCGATAACGAACCGATCAAAGTCGGTTACCGAAAATTCGATAACCGAAAACTAGGTTCGGTTTCGATTTTATACCGAAACCGAACTGATTTTGAGCACACACACAAAAAAAAAAAAAAAAATCTAGTGTTTACTTTTCTCATCAATTTTTGTAATTTTTTCACTTCTTACCAATTAAATACACACAAAAGACTCACAAGTCCATTGAAGGGTTAAAAAGTTTAAATTTCATATATAAAAGTTAGTTTAAATATAATTAGATTACGGTTTTTGTGTTAAATGCAACTAATAAAATAATATATTGTTGAACATGCAAGAAATAAAAGTTGGGATACAACTTTAACTAACTTATCTAGTAATGGCAGCACGAGAATAGACTACAATAACGGTAACATCTTCTTTAGAAGGAGTGAGGCTGGTAAACCGACAATGTACCGAACTCTTATGGGTTCAAACTGATACCGAACCGAAAGTGATTCGGTAACCGATAGTCGGTCACCGTTACAAGTGGTTCCGTACGGATCAGTTTATTTTCTCGTCGGTTCGGTTTGATTCGATTCGGTTTTCGGTTAAAAAATGTCAGCCCTACATTTGAGTGCGAAAATATGTATGTTTATTGAAAATTATGTATAACAATCTAACTATTAGTCAACATAACAAAAGAGCAACCATTTTTTTTTCCCTCTTTCAAATTGAGTGTAATTATTCTATATTCTTGTTATCATTATTAGATTCTGATACCATTCTCTCCATAATGATCTTAATATTGATATGCAAAGTTGCAAACACTATATAGATTCTTGAAAAGGAAGAGGAAAATTAGGGCTGACTAGATCCTTGTGGCATAAAGTAATAATTCTATATATATTGATGCTCTTTATAGGTCCCTACACAAAGATACACAAAAACAAATCTTTTTTTTTTTCCTTTGCACATTAACTAAAGGTAGTTAAGAAGGCAAAAATTCTATGAAGTCATCCATAACTTTATGTATTGACACGTGTTTAATGTGTATTTATTGCAGGACATGTGTTAATACACCATTTATGGATAACTATCGATGACTCCATAAGCCGAACCATCCGATAGTTCTATAGCAAAACTGATTAAGAAGGTGCTTAATGCATATTATCATTAGCTCAAAATGATTTATGCTGTTGAATTCAAGGTTAATGAATAGTTGTCTCAATTTTATGTGCTATTGCAGCTTTTGTTTGGTGAGTGGCAGAAGTTAGTAGGACTGAACTTGAGACACTAGTGCACATCCCCAATCTTCTTTTTTAATTGAAAAATTAGATATATTACATAAATTAAAATATCATTAATTATTTATATTAAAAAAATAAAATAAAAATACCAAAATTTAAAATTTTTTATTATCTATAAATAGAGACCACATTTGATAGGTTTTTGAACACAACTAATTTTTCGTTTTATATTATGTTCACCTTGTATGTAACATGTTCATCTTATTCTATAACATGTTCATTTTATTATGTAACATGTTCATCTTATTCTATAACATGTTCATTTTATTATGTAACATGTTCATCTTATTCTATAACATGTTCATTTTATTCATCTTATTTTAGAACATGTTCATCTAAATTTCATCTGTGAAAAATGTAACATTTTCATCTTATTCTATGACATGTTCATCTTACTCTATAGCATGTTCATCTTACTATGTAACATATTCATCTAATTATAGATTTACGTCAAAATCTTCCAATAAGATAAATTAATTGTAAAAAATGATAAATTAATTGTGTTCCAAAAAATATCAAATGTGGTCTCTATTTGTAGATAATGAAAAATTGCATTTCACAAAAGGCCCTGACACACCTAGCAAGGTGTGCCAGGGCACACCTAAGTATTTGCGAACTTGAGAACCTAATTGAGAAATACAGTAATGTTTCCCTACTCACGGTGGTCACAAGTTAATATGTCCACTTTTTATGTAGCATGCACACATTGGTGATGTATTTTTTGAACATATTAACTTCACCAATGTTTGCATGCCACAAAAACGGTTGACATATTAACATGTGCCCACCGTAGGTAGAGGAGCATTACTCTTGAAAAATAACCTCGTTGTCTCGTAAAAGTTACTCACATTTTTCGTATTTTACAAATTACATCTCACTATTAGTTATTATTAAAGAAAACACATACTCGTAAAAGTTACTCACATTTTTCGTATTTTACAAATTACATCTACTATTAGTTATTTGTAAAACCAGTGACAAATTTTTACGCAATTACTAAAAATGATAAAATAAGAAATAGTCGGTTCATTTCTTACTACAGGGCACAAGGAACTCATAGGTGAGTGTGTGAATGTGTGTAATCCAACACGGGTACTTTTAGTACGTGACTTTGATTTTGTCATTTCAAGTATAACTAGTACAATACTCGTGTGCAACACGGGTATTGAGTTAAGAAATATATGGTAAACGTTATCTATACTTATATAAAAAGTCATCATATTTACTAAAATTAATAGCAAAAAATAAGTTAGCATTTAATGCTACCCATAATTAGTAGTTTTCTTATTTTTCTTATATTTTTTTTTTAAAAATCATACAATTTAATTTGTAAATACGCTTTAATATAATCATACAAATCATACAATTTAATTTATAAAAATCATACAATTTAATTTTTTTCTTTAAAAGTACGCTTTAATATATATATATATATATATATATATATATATATATATATATATATATATATATACGTATATATATATATATAATGGTACTTTTTGTAATAAATTTGAATAAAATGTGTTACTTAAATATCTAAACAATTAAAAATTTAAATGTTTAAATTAATTGATAAACAATTTATAAATCTCTATTTTATTTAAATATGTGATTTTATTTAAAACAATTTAAAATGTAGCAAAATTTATTTAGAAAATCGTGTCGATCCTACAAGTTCAACCGACTGGTGTTGACGGATTCAATAGCAAATATTTTTATTCATGTGAACTAGACTGATTATAAACTGGTTCTCGGTTCATCCGGTCGGACTGTGTCCAACATGGTTTAATTTTAAAAAGATGGGTAAATCTTGATTAATTTATTTTTATATTTAATTTATAACACAAACGTAATATTGTTTTCCCGTGCATCGCACGGGCCACACACTAGTTTATGTAAAAACATCACGAAACATAGATTTTCGCCATGTCAGAATCCGAAGCGTGAGAATCTGCCACTTAGGCTAAAAACACGTTTTGAAATAATATATAGGGAGAGATAATTTCCTTTTTTTAATCGTTAAATGTAAATATATATAGATCAAAACTGAGTTCAAGACCGGTCAACGACATACAAAAGCGTAATGGGTAACCACAAGTCGGTTCCTCATTCGCGGGATAAAATAAGCGAGGACAACCACATCCCGATTGCT